TATATATATATATATATATATATATCACATTAGCTTTTTTTCAATACCATTCACCAGAACTGGGTCTCATAAATAATAGTCCTCAAATGAAAAAGTAAAATCAACAATAAAAAAGTAATATTTATGTAAAAAATAAAAAGAAAGAAAATTTGCACAGAAAGTTAAAAGAGAAAAGCACAAAGATTTAACGTGGTTCGGCAGTAGATGTAGGCCATGATGTAAACAAACTTCTTATTCCACTAATATAAAAAGTACCATGCAAGTATGGAGAATACAAGAGTTTATAAGCTCTTTTATATGCTCTAGAATATGATTTTTCTCTCTCTAGAATACCTATCCAAATTAAAAAGCAACATCCTCAATCTCGCAACTAACCACAAAGAAGAAAAAGTTTAATACAATTAATTTTTAGAAAGTTAGATCTATGCTAAACTGGATTCGAGTCTCATAAAATACCAAGGTTTTAATATCGTCGATCCAGATAGAGAATTGGCGGGACCTCACATTTTGATTTATTATTATTTTTTACTCAAGCTCAAAGAAATTTCTCCTCTCTCTCTCTCTTCACGAACAAGTGAACAATTTATTTATTATTATTTAATATGGCTTCATTCAAAAATCAAAACTCTTTTACTTTTGGATAATTTAGAACTCCAAGTTAGCTAAAACTTCACTTAGAATTTCCCATTTTTCTCACTACCCTCAAGAACCCTTTTGATACTCGCTTCACCCTTTCAATGTTGAGTTTTCGTGTTGGCACATGGAATCAACCGCTCCTATTCTGGTGCTGGTCTCTTCTTGCTACAGGAGTCAACAATACTTGAAAATAGTGATATATCTATGATTTCTAAAAATGCCGATCTAGATTGGAAGTGCTCAATTAATTTAGATCGGTTTGATTAATTTCTTTACATGGACTATTAGAGAGAGTGAAATATTAAATATAAAACCTTTAAAGAGATAAAACATTATTAAAATTCAAGGGAAAGAAATAATTAGCTCCATGAAAAAAAGAAAAAAGAAAAAACATGAGTACAAAAGACCACTTTTATCTTTACAATAGCAAGTGGCATTGAAGATTATAACAATATAAAAATAGAAAGTTGGACCGATACATTTTATTACCATGTTGCATTATAAACTTTATTTTGACTATAAATAATGTAATGTATAAAAAACACTCATATGAGACAAGTTTTCAATATTTACACATTTTTTATAGAACAATTGAAAAACCATAATTGGAAATACCACTATGTTTTTATTTTACAAACCTAAAAAGCAAAAAAAATTTAATATTTTTTTGAAAAAAAATTTAAACCAAAACTAGCTGATTCTCCGATCCGAATAGTCGATCCACCGATCTAACCCAATTTTCGGGAAGCCCATCCAGATCATCTCCAATTTTTAAAACCCTTTACAAAGTACAATACAAATACTTTTGACCCAAGGAGTAAATATACTATATGATGTCGCGGGATCACGTTATGCATGACGCCGCCATGCCCGTAAAACCCTCCTCTCTCTTGAATTACCTGCAAATCGATGAGTCATTGGCGAGCTCCATCTCTCTGCAAATAAATATTCGAGAGACGAATTTCTGAGAAGAGGGAAGCTTTACGGTTCAAGCCTTCAAGGTGATATTTGATACGCTTTTGAAGGTAATAAAACGAAACCAAATCTCTCTCTCTCTCTCTTCCAAAATGTGGGATAAGTTTGAAAATGATCTCTAAGATGCTGCTTTAGTTATATCATTTTCCTACACTTAATACTCTATTTGAATTAATTTTTTCTTTTTCTTCAGAAAAGCTTCAAAATCGTCATGAGAATGATTGAATTTTCTAAAATGATGGCGATTCTGGAACTGTTGACACTCCAAACATTGAATTAGTTTGTGGGTGATTGATTGTTACGCTCCTTGATCTATGGCATTGTCCTGTAATTTTCCATACTCAAGTTTTTCTCCTCATGACATTGGTTTAGAGAATTGAAGGATCTTAGTGTAAAAACAATTTGTGTATTTGGGTTTTGGATAATTTGATGGGACATGCCGAGTTTTTTATCAAACGACTGGAGGAGATGTTGTTTTATGGAGACATTGATAAGTGGCCTAGTGGGGGTGGAGGTTTGCCATTTTGTCGACGAAATGCCTGAGAGAAATCAAGTTTCATGGAATGCTACAATTACTGCTTGTGTACAAAGTGACATGTTCCAAGAGGCTTTTGAGCTTTTTGAACGAACACAAGAGAAATTAAATTTGGATAAATTTGTAGCAGCCATATAGTGGTTTGGAACTTTGACTCATGGAACTATGTCAACAGTTTCAGATAAAAAAACTTTGGATCATGGAAACTCTTTTCCTTAATGGTGTTTATTGTGTTATATTTGTTTGGCCAGTCTCTATAACCCAATTTTAACCTTTTCCACGTTTTGTATTTGTAGATATGATTTATAAAAATGGCTCTTTATGTGGCTGATGGTTTATTATTTTCTCAAATTTCTTGACTTCCTACAGTATTGGATCAACTCCTGGATGTTCTTTATACCAAGTCAAGGAGTTGTTAGCTCGGTTAGATTTGGTGGTCATTGGTGAACCAATTCAAGGTTGCGTTAATAGTGTCTCTCTTTTTCAACAATCTATTTCTCTGGGATGTTTTCTTGGTTAACACTGGGGCCTAGCCCTATGTAGATCTATTGGATTAACAGGAAATATTTGCTGGCATTACTCTAGCTCCAGGTTTTTATTGTAATTTGCTGGATTGGGATCTTTAGAGTAAGGGAAATGGATCAATGGGTACATAGAGAATAGTGGTATTGAATTGGACATGATTTATATTGTAAATATGGGTGCTTGGAGAAGGCTTTCGAAGTGTTTAATGGCTTGGCTCAAAAGAGGATTTCTCCTTGGAATTGTATGGTGTCCTGAGTGCTTGTGCATATTCAGGCATAGCAAAAGAAGTGTGCTGCTATTTTGAGTCTAAGACAAAGGTTTATGATGTCAAGCCCAAAATGGAACATTATGGGTGCATGGTGGATTTGCTTGGAAGAACTGGCTTGTGAGAGGAAGCAAAAGAGCTCATAGCTGGCATAACTGTAAAGCCAGATCGTCTTGGTTCTCTTTATAGATTCATGGTAGTCTTGAAATAGGTGAACTAGCAGGGAAACAAGTCATCAAGCTCAGAAAGCAGGTTCTAGGAAGAGGCGGTCAGGGTGGAGAGTCTCACCTTGTCCCAAATCATCGAGCTCAAGCCTCACAATAGTGGGTGCCATGCTCTTGGCTAATTTAATTTATCGCAATAAGATCTCTAGTAATATATCACATAATATTAAAGAGGATGCCTTTTTCAAATTATTTTATCTTATGAGAACTAAATATCAGTAATCTATGTTAGAAGATGAATTATATATACAAAACATATAATTTCAACATAGCGTACTATTAAGAATTTCTTTTATCATTAGAGAGAATGATATTGAGTACTATAAGAGGGAGATAAAAGTTTCTAATAAACTTTATACAAAGATGACTTTTGAATGAATTTCCATTTGATAGCATGAGCTATTGTCTATCACGCAATCTAATAATGCCATACCTGGCGATTGTGTCATTTCCATAACCTTAACAAATTATACCTTACATGCGTTCAAGACCACCAATAGGATCCATTTTCACAAAATCTTGAAATGTTTTTTTGTGATTTTATATATTTATTTTGATGAACTGAAAAAGAATGAATTTGCTAATAATTTCATTTTACTGTAAACTTGATATGGTTATAAAAAATTACGGTTGATAGTTAAGACATACAGGTTCAGAGGTTAATGGACCTTGATGCCCACTTAAATACAACCAGTTGTTTGAAAGATGCAAATGTTATTGCTAGATCATCTTATCATTTAACTTTACAGCATAATGGAGAATGTGCAACCCATCCACTAAGAGATATAGTCATGCTTCTGGATCACATCATCTCATTTTGTAGAACAATAATCTAAAATGTGCAGTGCACGTACCACTGCTAGTTTCATTTTTTTGGATGGGATTCAATAATATGGAGATATTTTTGTAGTAGCAAATAATCCAAGAGTCAAATATTGCTTGCTCAATATCTAATGCATAAGCTTTTAGAACCTAAAGATCTGACTTTCATTTGATTCTTTTTCACATACATTTTACCATGAAACCCCTTTCCCGTGTGTGTGTTCCCTTAATAAACCATCTCTCTCACCATTGATCTCCCTCTGTCGCTTTTTGCAGCCGCCGCTCTCTCCCTCAAATCGCCTGAAACCTCTTTGTGTATAGGGACAGAACCCCATTTACTGCACAGGTAGGAAATTACACGTCTTCTCCCTAAGCCTCTTCAATTCTTTCATTTTTTTTTCCGCTTGTACTTTTCTCTCTCTTGATTTCAGCTGAAAATTACAGTGAAGTTTAGTGTATAGAATGAACTTCCCAGTATTATTCAGCAAGGTGAAGAAACTGATTGTTTTCAGCTGTTTTTAGCGAGATCAATGCAAGTTTGTTTTTTTTTTCAGTTTGATTGACTGACCTGAAGTTCCAGGTTCTCCCTGTCTGTTTGTTCTTCACGGATGGGAAGTTCAAGTCTAGTATTTCATTTGATGGATCTAGAGTCCCTGTAGTCAATTATGTTTAGACATTGTCAGTTTTTTGTTATTCATCTATGTTTTTCACAAACAATAGTGTCTAGGTTTCACAAACGACAGTGTCTAGTATTCCATTTGATGGATCAAAGGTTTTGATCGTTTTCAATCTAGATGTTTGGTTTTGCTCGGAGAGCATAGGAGGTCATTTTATGCCTACTAGGTCTTATTTTGGTGGGGAAACCTCCGCTATTCTTTTGCATTCAATGCTGTATATGAATTGGTTTCTATTGAAACCTGGGTAGAGACTGACTCAAATAGCAAAATGTCCATGGTAGCAATTTCTTATGTGATGGAGCAATTGTGGTGTAATTGTGGTTCTTTGGTAGTATGGCATTGTGTCTTTTTGTATTTTTGCCTGTACTGTTAGGGTATCAATAGGGTCTTGATTATAAATTATAATGTAGCATGAAATAGAGATATGGTGGGGATTAGCATAATAATAATGATGTCCTTTCCAAAGTTTTGCTATATCCAAGTGAGACAACATACGTGTAGAAGCCAATATTTCTCAAAGGCCATGGAATAAGTAAAATGTAACGCAGAGAGAGTATACTGTATGTAGGCCTATTTTGTGAAAGCAAGAGAGGGAATTGAAGAAGGACCATAGAGGAACCTAGAAATCATCTTGAAATCACCATTGTCTGATGCTTGAGTGTTACCAATTTTTCTCATGGACTAGAAGGCCATGAATAAACAGAATGTAAAACAGAGAAAGGATATTGTATTCGGTCTAATTGGTGAAGGCAATAGACAAAATTGAAGAGGGTTTTTTGAGGAACTGAATGTCGATTAAAGAGAGAGAGAGAGAGAGAGGAAAAAATAAAAAGAACTACAATTAAGGAATTGAGTAGTAACTGCAAATCATCATTTGGGATGCCTCAGTGTCGCCAAGTAGGAGTATGTGGCTTATGGGTTTTGACTGCACTCCTGTAATTCTCCTTGAAGGTCTCATTTATGTTACTATAAAAGTAGAACTTGGTCCATATTTCGATGGTTGGGCTTCTTAGTAGCCAATTGGCTGTACCGAGCTGTTTATCACTACTCTTAGTAGTCAACAATGGAGGGAGAAAATTAACTTATTATCATCATCATCATAGCCTTTTCCCATTTAATTGGGGTAGGCTTATTATTTATTATAGCTTCTTTCAAAAATCAAAACTCTTTTTTTTGGATAATTTATATATAAAAAAACAACACTCCAAGTTAATAGCTAAAACAGAAAAAAACTAACTTAATCGGTTCCGTCTATTTTCTTGTACAGCTGATCATTCTCTTGGAGTTCTCATGTGTTAACCTTTAAGTCTGAAAGGCCTTATTTATTAAACCCAAAAGATTTTATATACATAGTTGAATACACTGTGCTAAATTTATTTATATATATATATATATATATATATATATATATAGATAGAGAGAGAGAGAGAGAGAGAGAGAGAGTATATTATTATATAATAATACTAGTAAC